TGAGGTGCCGCATGCGACCAGGGATAGGCGGCCACATTTTGCTCAGGTTATATGGGTTTAATCAAGAAGAGGGCCCGTGAAGGGAAGGCCTGATATCTGCAAACATGGAAATCAGAGCCTAGGTGCTCCGCTCAGTAAGGCGGCAGTGTACCTGCTTCTGGGACCTTAGGAAATAGCGCCTGGAGTGAAATGCATACAGGGGCTGGACCCGACTGAAATCGGTCAACCAGAAAGATAAGGAACGGATCTACGAGACAATGAGGGGATTCGGATTGGAGGCCCGATTCGGATAAGCTGATCGAAGGATAGGGGGTCTGGTTAATAGCAAGTGTGATGAGACTACATTAGATTTGCCACAAATGGGCATACATTTTGACGAGGGGAAGGTAAACAAGTTATAAGTTGTGATAAAGGGGCACTGGGATAAAAGGGTATAGAGTAGATAGATAGACCATGACAGAAAGAGGAGTGATAACATAACCGTTTTCGACAGAACATTTGTCGAGCTATTGACTTCACTTGTCTTTTTGGCGAGTTGGTAGCTTGGTGCGGAGAATGGCCAAACTCACAGATGATACCGGCGAAACGTTTGAAAATGCACCAAATCCACTGTCTGATTTCGGGAATCATAACAAATACTATGGCAGACGACTTCTGACTAGGTGTGTTCTACTAAGTCACCTTGACAACAAGACCAAGTTGCGACAACGAGGTCAATCCACATTTATAAATCGAAATGAGACTGCGACCATACTAGAGGTCACAACATCTTGGTCTTAAAATCTTTATATTAGCAGTTTAAGATGGCTTCTATCGTTCTTATTTAGTTATTTGTATCCACACATACATACATCCTTGTATAAACGTATAAATGTTTATATAAATTTATATTTATATAAAATACAAAGCACATTTGCGTTTAGGGCTGGGGACTGCAGTGACCATGTGTCTATGTCAAACCCTCTTAAGGGCTAGTTTACGCTAGTTCTGAAGACTAGTTATGTCAATCTACGAACGGACTATATCTAAGCTATATGTGGGGTGAAACGTGATATGGGGAGCTCTTTATATAACTTTTTATACAAGACTATTTTTATACCTAAGCAAACATCATAATCTTTACGGTTGAAGGTAGCAGAATACCTTGAAATCACTAGTTGAGATTTTAAATTTCCTCAAATCACACTAAATACTAAGAGATATTTTTCGTCAATGGCAACGGACAATTTTTACTACTTTTGTGTCTTATAGCATGAAACTTGTAGGGATGTCTTTTAGACTGTTAACTCATGTTTGATGCATGAGTGAGCTCGTTTCAAATTGTCGTTATATATTTCTGGTTCTAAATGGAATAAAGAATAAAAGATTTCGCACAAGCGCCTTTTTGTATAAAAAATATATTGTACTTCATTATCAGCTCTGTTCGAACAGCGCCCTCGAACTAACTAAATGTTAGTTAAAGCTACTTACTAATCACATTCGAACCACAGACCTTATGAATTTGTCTAACTTCCTTCCCTGAGTTGACTTTGGATATGCAATGAATTTGTTTAGACGGGAGTATAGAGGCACAAATAAGTAATGGTAGCTATGCAATATTTAGGATTTAACAAACCTCTTTCAGAAAATTCACATTTACGCGCTTCTCTGCTTCCAACTCCTTCTCCAGTCTTGCGGGTTCTAGTCCGTGCTCTGCCCTGCTGGCTTCTTCAAAAGTTAATGCTTGGTCCATATTGTCATCATTTCGGGCGAACTTTTTGTCAAGGAACCTTAGTAATCTTTGCCTTGAAATTAAAAAAAAATTAAGTTGGATAAGATGGGCTAAATTAGAAATAATAAAGAAGATTCGCACAAATAAATTACCCAAAATAAAGACCTCAGGATTAATAGGAAATGAAATTACCCATTCACTTTCGTGGACTGCAAGTCCAGACTCTGTCATTAAGTAATGCTAATCAAATTCGGTT